CCCCGCCCCGGGCCCCCCCCCCTCCCCACTGGCCTCCGCTTCCCGCCAACACCGCCTCAGCTCCCCGCACGGCACCGGCAGACAACGCCCGCCCGGGACTCTCACCCCGCCCTAGTCAGGCCGCCGCACGTCCCCTCCGGCTCTGGCTCCAGCCCCGCCCCGGGGACTCCCCTGCCGGCCCCGCCTCCAGTCCCGGCCTCGGAGCACCTGCGCCCCGTGCGGCCTGGCCCGGCCCTGCGCCACTTGCCCTGTGGGCGGGTACGGGCCGAGCCCGCACTTTCCCAGCCGCCCGACTTCCCCTGAACGGCCGCTTGCTGCTCCCGGCGGCCAGACCCTACGGCCCGCCCGCCCCGATCCAGCCGAGGACAGCGCTTGCCAGGGACCCGGCGCTGCAACTTGCCCCAGCTGCCTTCGCGATAGGAGCGAAGCCTCAATGTACTGAGAACCGGCTACTGCCTCGAATTGCAGCAGTAGCCTTCAGGCTACCACACAGCAAAAATTGAGCACTAGATGCTTCTGTTTCCTACCCCGGCTGCCCATACAACCCTACCGGCTAACACTAGAGTATTAATGATGTAATAAACTATTACGGTCATGTGTTAGTTAGGGTACTACGGCAGAGATGCAATCACGGCGTGATTCCCATTTTTACAAATACAGTGCATGACTGTTTCAGCCAAAGCAACGAATCCAGTTACAACTTAACGACTTACACTTTTATTACAGCATAAGATTCTGAGAGCTGCAAGTCACAAAATCTTATGCCATAATAAAAGTGGTAATCTTTATAGTGGCACCAGCCTTAGGGTTTTTGATTAGTTGTATTAAAGAACCAATCAATCAGCTTCAGCTTCTGAAGAGCTAGATGTTTCTATTATGAAGAGACATTTAGAAAACTGACTTGTCAATGTATTCAGTCTTGTTTTCCTAATCTTAAAATAAAAATAACCACTATTTTCCACTATGTAAAAAAAGCCAAAATATTTATAAAAGGTTATAGTGTGTCATTTCTATTGGGTGATTTAAAAAAAAAATCAAAGTTTTCAATGATTTGACAAGGAAAGACAACTCTACCCCTTTTAACAGCCCAGATGCTGGATGTACTCTATGTTTCTTGGTATAACAGAGTTTATCCTGCTATGAGTGAGTGCAATCCTGTAGTCCTGATTCAGGCAGAACTTCCACAGCAGGATTGGGCTGCTATTAAGATTACTGCAATGATCAGATTAAATTCAAAGTTAAGAACAGGTCAAGCACCTGTAGTCTTAACTGCCATACTAAAGATCTGTAAAAATTTCATCTTTACCATTTTATAGTCTATTCATGAAGAATATTTCCATTTTTATCTCATTTATCAATATCACATGGTTTTATTCATTTGAACAGACACCTTCTAAATTCAGATATATTCTGCAGAAAAAAATGGGTTCCAGATAAAAATACCAATTTCCTAACGGGTACAAAGCACTTGAAATTTAATGGTGTATTCCATGATAAATTATGCAAATATTAAAAAAAAATCATCTAAAATAATCTACTATACAATACATGCTTCTGTTTATAAACAAATAATATTTATAAGGACAAAAGTACAAACTTGTATAAGTAACAGTAAGAAATTTATTATTTACATCAATACTGAGCTAACTTTTTACAATATACATTGTATTTTTTCTTCCCTCAAAATGTTTCCAAACAGTAGCAAATGTCTTTGAAAATATGTAAACCTCCAAGTGCTGACAAAAATATACAAGATATACCCAGAAATTCCAAGATTAAATTAAAAAGTGTAAAAAATAAAAGTGTCATTTACTATTCACTATTAGTTTTCTTTCAAATATTTCAGCTCATTTATAATTTTATTTTTGTTTAAATATGGGTTACTTTGATGGCTCAGGACAGGCAACACCTTTGATTAAGTACACACACTTGGGCTTACTACTGCAATATCAAGGAAATTAAGAAAACTTAGCACCTTGATACTACCCCACTGCATGCTCTTATGTAAATAATTACAGGTATATTAAGGTAGAATTACTATATAATAAGCCTACTCTAATACACCACTGATACTTTTGTTATTATCTATTCAAGGAAGACTCTTTTAGCACAGAATGAAAATATTTTAAACCATGTTAGACCATTGCTGTTGACTTTTCTTGTCCTCAGTCACTATCATAATCATCTATTTTTAATTCATCTTCCTCCATGATTGCTTGTGCAGTAACAGGCTGAGGCTGACTACCTGATAGTTCACTTCCACTAGCCTGGCTACAATTAAGAGAAAATTCATCTGGCTCATGGTAATTTATTTTGTTTTTTTCCAACTCAAAGAGCACCTTCAGAGGTCGCATAGCTGTGAAGTCCCCATCATCAATATTTTCAAAGCCTGGCATACCAGGATCTTTATCTGTAAGAGTTTCAAGCTTTAACCTGCAAAAAAATCATCATAACCATTAGTAACAAAAACAAAATGAAGCACTCTTTTACAAGATCATGGAAGTAGAAATGGAATAAGTCACTCATGTATCACACTAAATAATCCCTTTCCTTCTTTGCTATGGGACAGCTTTCAAAATATTTACGTTATTTTATTACAACTAGGGATGATAAATTTAGATTAATCAGCTAATCGAATAGTTGATGCAATTTGCATCAACTATTCAATTAGTTGATAAGGGCACCTCTGTCTTGGAAGTGTAGCCAGAACCCCAAGGCTACACTTCAAAGGCGAAAAGCATGCTCTCTGTGGCATTTCAAAGTGGCAGTGCTTCATGGAACCTGCAGTCAGCGGGGGAGTCCTCAACTGACCCCGGGCTCCACACAGGGCTGCCACTTGGAAATACCCTCTCTGCTCCCCCCCCCACCTTGCTGCCTCTTCCAGATAATTAAAAGTGTAAATGTAAAGCAGATCCTGCAGCAACATACTAGACACTTCCGTGTGTGCATGCATGCGTACACACACACACACACACACACACACACACACACGCGCGCGCATGTATGTATATCACTCCCTGTTTACAGTTCTCCTAGCCTAGACAACAGGAATTAGTTTTCTTTTTAGGTTCAGGAAATATCATATTGCCTCTGTATAAAAATCAATGGTACACTCATATCTTGAATACTGCGTGCAGATGTGGTTGCCCCATCTCAAAAAAGATACTGGAATTGGAAAAGGTTCAGAAAAGAAAACAAAAATGATTAGGGATGTGGAACAGCTTCCATATGAAAAGAGATTCAAGACTGAAGCTTTTCAGTTTGGAAAAGACACAACTAAGGGAGAGGATATGATGGAGATATATACAATTATGATGGGTTTGGAGAAAGTCTTATTTACTCCTCATAGCACAAGAACTATGGCTCACCAAATGAAATTAGACAGTATGTGTAAAACAAACAAAAGGAAGCATTTTCTTCACACAACACAGTCACACAAAATACACCATCAGTGGCTATTAGCTAGAATGGGCAGGGATGGTGTCCTTAGGCTCTTTTTCCCAGAAGCTGGGAATGGGTGAAAAGGATGGGTCATTTTATTATCCGTTTTGTTCACTGCCACTGAAGCACCTGATATTGGCCGCTGTCATAAGAGAGATACGGGGCTAGATGGACCTTTAGTCTGACTCAATATGGCTATTCTTATTTTAGGATTTTATGACAGCATCAAATGTTTCACCAGTGGCAATATATTTAAGGAGACACACAAGGTGGGTGAGGTAATATCTTTTATTGAGCCAACTTCTGTGGGTGAAAGACACAAAAGCTTTTCTCCTACCAATGAAAGTTCTCACTCACTTTGTAGCTCTCATATATCTTGCGACCAACAAAGCTACAATATTTCTAATACTTTATACACACACACACACACACACACACACACACACACACACACACACACACACTTTAAAGGGCATTACAATGGTAAACCAATGTTTTTCTCTAGTCCCATCTCCAAAGATATTAATGAGCTATGATCTGCAGCTTTTTCTCAAGCAAAGTGGTCCTGCAAATGAAATCCTTATCAAAATACAGGTTAAACCTCTCTAAACCAGGACTCTTTGGTCTGTCAACATCTGCGCTCCAGCAAGACGGTGGACGATCCAGGACCAGAGAGTCCAGGTGGTGGCTGGGAGCCCTGCAGCAGTTTGGGAGCCCAGTAGCTGTGCTGCCCTGTGGTGGTGAAACCAGGAGCCAGGCAGCAGGGCTACCACCCAGCGGTGAAAATGCCCAGAAGGACTGGGAGGCAGCAGGACCACCTGGCAGCAGTGGTTGGGAGCCTGGGAGTGGGACTGCCGTCCAGCAGTGAAAGCCAGGAGCCCGGCAGCCCTGCAGCCAATCCAGTGGCACAGCTACCTAATGAGACAAGAAGGCAGTAGGGCTGCCCCGCGGGGCTAGGACCCTGACTGTGCAGCTACCTGGTGGTAGGGCCAGGAGCCCAGGAGAGGGGCTGGTGGCCAGCAGCACAGCAAACAGCCCAGCAGCCCTGCTGCCACCTGACAGAGCTGCCCAGTGAGGCCAGGAGGCAACAGGGCTGCGTCACAGGCCTAGACCCCAGCAGCAAGACTGCTACCCAGTGGCACAGCTGGATCAAAGCAGTAGCTGCCCACAGGTCTGGAAGCCCAGCAGCAGGGCTGCCACAGTGTGGCCGGGAGCCCTGTGCACAGAGGGGCTGGCAACAGGTGAGAGCCATCCAGGAGGCTGGCAGCCAGGTCATGGCTGGGGTGGGGGAGTGCAGTGGCATGTGGGGGAAAGAAAAGGCCTCCCCTGGTTTGGCAAAAATCCCTCATTCAGGACCAGTAAGGTCCAGAGGGTGACGGACAAGGGAGGTCCAACCTCTGCTACCACAACAATCAATAAAATGCAGATATCAATGGATTATCATGATTTAAAGTCTGTTTTAAAAAGAAACATTCCAAATAGAAGTCTTAAAATAACATGAGAATAGTAGATTTCTCAATTTTTATCAGTCAGTGGGTAAGGAAATGGTGCCTTGTTTAAATCTATATCATTTAAATGTTTTTTATTTCTAAAATTGCATTTCTTGGGCAACATAAATCAATGTGACTATTTTAAATTCAGTTAAAATAGAGGCGTAAAGTCATAATCACCTGATCTGCTCAGTGACTAATGGTTTTGCTAGGTGAAGTGACTTGATAATCTCTTTCCAGTTTCTTGTGATCAAGCTTCCATGTCACCAAAAACCAACCAACCACCAACACATCACAACTAAAACTTCTGCTGGTTTCTCAAAGATCAAGGACTGGGAGGTTATGAAAACTTATGTCATCCTCTCTCTCAAAATGTGTCATTTAGTTGAGGCCCAATGGTATCTAAATATTGGATAGGGTGCAGTGTCGCTGTCTGAGCTCTACATGTGCTGTGAATAAGTACAATAGAGGACTTTGGCTCTCGCTCTGTAAGGATTTTAGAAAACAGTGGAAACACATAATAAATGCACATATATTACAAACTAGAAACCTGCTATTAATTTAACTTGTCCACTTTCTAGTAAATAAAAACAGGCCCCAAATAAGCACAAAGCAGTAGTCTAAAATTCCATCAGGAAAAAAAAAAAATCATGTTTTTAACTTCAGAGTAAGAGGAATACTTTAAAAGTCAGTTTCGCAATAGATCATAGTTTTATACTTCTATAACAACTGTTTCAAAAGAGGTAAGAATAGTTTCTGCTTAATATAATTTTTCTTGCTCATCTAATATTGCACCTGTCAAAATGCCAGGATGATTTCATTGTATCTGATGAGGTAAAGGACAGAATAATTTTTACTTTTTTCTTCAGTTCTCCTAAGTTAATTTGCACTCATTTAACATTTAACACAAGCCTCAAACAGATCAGGTGCCCCCAGAGTACGCACTGAACAAGCATATATTAAGTGACAGGATAAAAAGGCTGCATTTAATGCAGTGGAAGAAAGGGAGTTAATGGAGGGAAGGAGAATGTAGACAGATTGACAAACCAGCAAGATGATTTTAACAGCAGCATGTGGAATGGATTTGAGTGGTGACAGGTTGCACACATTGAGGCCAAAGAGGAAGAGGAGTTTGCAGTAGCTGAGCTGTGTGTGAGATGAAAGGTTGAGAGTTTGGGCAGTGTGAACAGAAAGAAAAGATCTCATTTTGGAGACCCTAAGCAGGAAAGATGAAGCACTGTAGAATATAATTGATTTTCAATATATAAACAGAAATGTGTTTTTCTAATACAAGACAGACTTAACTTTACCTTCCAAAGTGTCTCTTCAAGGGAAGCCTTCCAACATCCTGAATAAAAGCAATCTGAACTGAGAACAAAGACAGAATCACTGTCACCTTGGACTGGTCATAATACACATAAAGCACACAAGAAAAATTAAATGCAATTCACTAATCTTGTAAATGTCAAAGATTTTCCTACCATGAATTTTCACAATGTATTATGCCTAGGTCTCTACCAAATTTATGGCCATGAAAAATATATCATGGACTGTGAAATATGGTTTTAAGTGCATTTTTACCCCCTTTTGTCCCCCAACCATGCAGATCTCAAGGGGCGATCAGTGTTTTTCAAATTGAAGGTCTTGACCCAAAAGGGAGTTGCATAGTAATCACAAGGTTGTTTTCGGGGGACTGTGGTATTATCACCCTTACTTCTCTGCTGCTGTCTGCAGAGCTAGGCCCTTAATCAGCAGTCGCCACTTTCTGATCATCCAGGTCTAAAGGGAGCAGCACAGAAATAAGGTTAACAGTACTGCAATCAATGGGGCTGACAAACTCAATGGGTCTCTGGGCAAGGTGCAGTGTGTGTGACTCCACGCCCCTGAAAGCCTCCAAATGCTGGGTCTAGCCTCCCCCAAGCAGCTCTGAGTGCTGCCTGGATCACACAGTGCAGGGCTCCAGCAGCAATTTCACGTGCCCAGGACCCCAGCCATTGCCGGGAGCCCCAGGCTGTTTTGAAATCACCAGGCCCTAGGGCAGTTGCCCCTCTTGTCTTTCCACCAGAGGTGAAAGGAAGTGGGTGTGCCCTGGTGCACAGCTCTGGCAAAAGCTGGCTGAGCTGCAGCAAAAGCCAGCAGGCAACTATTTTATGTGCTGGCAGGGACCCGTGTTGCAGTAGGACAGTGTCTGTAAGAATTTTAAGTCACTGTCACTGCTGCTCCCAACCCAGTCAGTGGGCATGACTGCAAACTTCCCTTCCCACCCCCCACAACTCCAACTTGCAACCACCTCCTCCACAACTCCTTTCTGGGTCAGGACTAGGGATGTTAAATATCGGTTAACTGAATAGTCAAGTAACTTCATGAATTTGTATCAGTCAGTCAACTATTCTATAGTCCCCGAGGGTGGGGCTGGCAGCCAGTACGCTCCAGCTTCACTCCCAAGGACCCCCTGTCCCTCTGCACTGCTGCCTCGGTATCAGGGGAGCTGGTCCATGAGGGGAGTCCATTTAAAAACCAGCTCCCCTTGCAAACCGGCTGTCTGTCGCCCTGTGCTGCTGCCTCTAATAAAGAGGTACCAGCGTGGGGTGGCAACAGCCCGTTTGGGGTGGGTCTGAGCTTCCAGACATGGCACAAGCCAGAATTTAGCCAGGCTGCCTGCCTGCCTGCCTCTTAATACACTTTAAATGCAGAGCCGTAGTGGGGGTACATCCCAGACCTATTGCTTGCCAGCCTGCTAAAAAATTTACTGGCAAAGGGCAGGGGATGCATGTAGTCTATAGCATTAATCTATAAGCTTTTGCTTATTGGTTAACTGGTTAATCGACTACACTATTACATCCCTAGTCAGGACCCACACAACTACAACACAGTGACATATCAGATTTAAATACCTGCAATCATGATATTTATTATTTTTAAAATCCTGTCTGTGAAAATGAGCAAAATGGACCATAATTTTGGTAGGAGCCTAATTAGATCACACAATTCTATATCAAACTAGGTAATAGCAGTGAATGAATATCTAATAAGTGGACCCTGTTTTCCAAACAATTAGCTTTGTGATAATATGTCAATTAAATTGCCATCAACTTCCTGAACCAAGTGGCTCATATTTCTCATACTCTCTATATTCCTAAGCTTGGCAGAAAATGTATCTTCAACAATTCCATTTTTTCCCAACTTATTTTGTGTAAACCTCAAATAAATTAACCAGCTAAAGTTCTACCCTAACAGCAATACCGTGACCCTCTCTGATTTCCTATTATGCTATAATCATATTTCTGCATTTCAGTAAGATACTCTGCCTTCAGCTTTTTGGCTTACCCACTAATAAATAGAAATATTGTCACAGAATGCAGAGGGACAATGAAAACAATTGATACAGATACTTTTTCCTAATTAGATGTAACAGTATTTGCCATATGAAGTGAACTGGACTAAAGACTAGGTTATAGTACAAAATGTAAATAGCAATACAAAATCTGGACATGCCATACAAAGGTAAAAAATTCCTGTTCAAATGCATCACCTTGTTTCTGGAATGCGCATTACAAATATCTGAAGTAAAAGGGACAGTAGGATTTAACCTAGTTAAATGTATTTATTGGCCTCTCCTACAGAGAATTCAAAAGCTTCTGTTACTCTGGCTATGCTTAATTGACATACCCCGGAAAATGTATAATATTGGCAAGTTCTGTGCAGCACTACAATAGTTTTAGTATTAATTGACTATTATATATAAATACCTGTAGCACCTAGGACCCCCAGTCATGCACCAGGATTCCAATGTGCCACGCATTGCATGAACAGTACAAAATCCGCCTCCCAGATGGCTTACTATCCAAATTATTACTATGTATTCATAGTGGGACCTAAATTGTGAAACAGTCTGGGACATACAGGGCCTTATCTTGCAAAACATTACAATCTAATGCTTGAAATCAGAGGGTATACTATTATTGTCTTATGTGTATGTAAAGCACCTTGTGATTTTAAGGCGCATTATAAACAAACAAACAGTCTCACATATGTACATGGACATGTATTTTAATTTTTAGAGTAAAATAATATTTAAAAAATAGTTTTTAAGTAACAGCATTCCAATAAAACATTATGGGCTTGAAACAGCTAAAAAACTCTCTCAAAGTCTTACACGTATATATTTATTTCACAATGTGCTGTTTTAATACTGCAAATTGTTTTATGATTTTGTCTCACAAGGACCTTCTATAACTATTACTAAAAGACTCACCGGATGTTGCTCAATTCCTTAACTCAATTTTTGTTTGTTTTGTTTAAATCATTGCTCTGGGAAGCAGCTGAGAATAAGGGGTTCAGCATACAGGCTGCCCCGAGGAGTGAGGACTACCCCAGGCCTCTCTCACTGCAGTAGCTTGGTGCCAGGTTGAAATGCCTCTCCATGGCTGCTGCAGCTCCAGTGGGCATAGCTAGGGGTGGGGTGCACATCCCCAGCCCGGGCAGATCCAGGTTCGTCTGCCTCTATGCCCCCCAGCCAGAGTAAGGAATGCAGCAAATTGTGCATTTCCCCTCATTCAG